AGGGCCTGAGGCAGCCTTGGTTCCCTTAGAGTGCCAGGAGGGCTGGGGGAACCAGCAGCCCTGCCACCCACGAGGTCCCCTCATGCGTCTCTGTCTGCGTTTCCCAGCTCTGTCCCTGCATGCGTCTCCAGGGACACGTGTGTCAGCATACATGTTATCTTTGCATGTCTGCACATGTGTGTTTCTGCGTCTCTGCGTGCTCTCCCTCTGGATCTGCTTGCATGAGTCTGTTTCCACAGGTGCTTGTCACTGCAGGTGCCCCTCTGCACGCACATGTAGGTTTCTATTTTTGCACCTGTCTCTTTCTCCACGTATATCTCTGTGGGTCCCTGGTTGTGCATGTATCTAGGTGTCTACGTTCAGAGAAGGGGTGAGGCCAGGCCTAACACTCAGGCAAAGGGGAGGGGGTCAGGCCTACAGACGGTGCCACCCCAGGGAGCCTGTGTATGTGTGTGCCTGCGTGCGCACAGAACCGCCAGGAAGCTGGGTAAACATGGGTGAGAAGTTCGTGCTGACAGACGGTGCCACCCGCTCCGGGACCCCGCAAGGCGTCCCCATCTGTCCGCTTCCTTGGTGCAGCCCCCTCCCTCTGGCCCAGACTCCGCCTCAGGCATCCCAGGCTGAGCTGGACAAAGAGACCTGTGTGTGCTTTGTAGGGGGCCTCAGCAGCCCCCTCCCCCAGTCACTGCAGCCAGCCTAGGCTGAGCCCCTGTCCACCTCCACCCCAGCCACATCCATCAGGCCTTAGCTCCAAGCAGCCTCACCTTCACACTGTATCCCCGGACCACTGCCCTTACTCAGGCAGCCCCTCCCTCCCTTCCACCAGAAAGCTCTCCCTGCCTCTCCTGTTCAAGTGTTTCCTACTCTTGCATCTCCCTCCTCCTTCAGGAAGCCACCAAGATAGCAGGTGAGCTGTGGAGTTGAACTGATCCAGCTCCACTGCTGCTGTGGGGACCTCAGCCAAGCTCTTGGCCCTCTCTGCGCCTTAGGCTCCCAACACCCATCCCCCAGCCCCCAACACCCTGTCACCTTCCTCTGCCCAGTGGGGACAGCAGGGAAGAAGGGGTCAGGGTTCCCACTGCCGTATCTGAAGACCATCGCAATTCATGCACACGTGTGTACCCACTACAGGTACACAGATCTGTGCGGGCAGACACTAGGAATGTGTGCGCCCTACATGTGCACGCAGGCAGAATCCACAAACAGCTGTAGAGGCTCCCCAGTACCTCTGAGGTCCCCTAAAGTCCCCGTGGGTTTCTCTTTCCTTCGCGGGGACCCTTTTATCAGAGGCTGGATAGACCTCGCCCCAGAGGCACAGACACTGCGGAAGTCTGGCACTGAGACTGCGAGGCAGGTGTAGGGACCTCCCGGCGCTGTGCACACCAAGGGGGCAGCCCCCAGCTACGCGTCGGTTGAGCGTGAAAGAAGCTGGGCTTCCTGGGGTTGGGGAGTGGGGTCCCGAGAAGGGGCGCCGTGACGCCGCCCAGGCGGGGGCGGGGGGCGGGCAGCGGCTCGGGCCGCAGATGCGCGCCCCGCGTGGACACGGCATGTGCCGCCTTTCCGCCGCGGCGCGGAGTCTCCGCCGTTGCCATAGTTACCGGCGGCCTGGAAGGGGGAGGGACCCTTCCTCTCCCGGCGCTCCGCAGCCCCTCCGCCCTCAGGACGGGTTTTGAGGGGATTCGGCGTGACCCGTATATGCGTGTGTTGGAACGTGGGTGCATTCCCGAGGGTGGCCGTGTGTGGGGGACAGTCGTGTTCGTTTTGCAGTAAATAAAAACGCTGCGGCGTGTGTGCAGGGGTCTGCAGCGGAGCTGCGGGCCTGAAGCCCAGCCGGCAGAGGGCGTGGTACGGGGGCAGGATGGTGGCTGGCTCCCCCAGGACTACCCTGAGCCCTTCCGGAGCTGGCGCCCCTAACCTGACAGACGTGGAGTCCCACCACCTGGTCTCATGCCAGCCCCACCTCGACTTAACTCTGTGACCTTAGGCAGGTTCCTAGATATCTCTACACCCTCATTTGCTCACGTACCTTACATAGTTTCGGTAAAATCATTTTGTCAAGCATTTTAGCGCGGTACCTGGAACGAGTCAATGCTCCATAAACCTAACCTTTATCCCTCATATCTGGACCTCTGTTTTCCCGGTTGTTGATGGGTTTGGATTGATCATGCAACGTCAGCCTGAGGAATTTGCCCTGGTCCTTAGCCTGAGTGGTTCAGGCTACAGTGGCCCCAAAGCTCCTGTGGTTCCTGGGCGGGGGTGGGGGGGGAGGCGGGGGGGAAGAGGGAAATGTCACAGTCTGATGGTGGCTCAGTTCACACCAACCTGCCCAGTGCTCGGTTTATTCAGAAACACACGGGCGTCAGTAATGGCTGCTGTCCTTGGCTATATTTGAATGTGCCGGAGGCCCCCGCGGGTGAGCGTAGAAGGAAGAGCCAACAGCAGGTCATTCCCGAGGGGCTGGAGTCCTCCTGTGAGACACGCTTCCCTTCCCCAAGGTGCAGAGCTGCAGCCTTCTGACTTGTGCCTGGAAGCCTAGTTGGCACAAGGGACTGGCTTTTGGGTCCCGCTGTTTTATGGACAGCTCTTCACACACGCCGGTTTTAGGCTCAGGCGGTTGTGCCTGAGGGATGATCTGAGCCAAGGACAGAACCACTGAGGTCACGATGATTGAGGGAGGAAAATTAATTGTCCTTAATTTGGCACAAATCCCAAAGACTTGCCCCGCGTCAGGCATTCAGAGTATATTCCCAGGACACAGGGCTGCAGACGTTTGTACTTCCCTTCCCCTTGAGCAGCACCTTGCGGGTAGAGGTGAAGGCGAGCTCGCTCCTGGGCCCTGCCCCGGCAGGCCCTGCCCCGCTCCGTCCTCCACTGCTCTGGAGGGCTGAGCAGGTAGGATTGAGGTCTGGGAAGAACTAGACTGGTGCCCCAGTGGGCTAGGATGGCTCCAGCAGCCCTGAGTGTCCCCTGGCTGTTGGGGAGGGCAGGGAGGGTGGACGTGGACGGACCCCTGCCTGGGCCTTCCTGGGAAAGCAAGTGACGGCAGGACCAAAGGAAGCTGTTCCCCTGCTTGGCGCATTCCAAGTCCTGCTTCATTTCCATCCTCCCTTTCCTTGCCACTGTTAACGTTGTCCTTTTAAAAATCAGAGCTAAAAGTCAGGACGCTGTGGGATCATATTTGCAGCCAAGGACACGCTGGCTTCATGTCTGGAACTTATAGGGCTACAGGTGGGGACGTGTTCTGCCAGTCACCGGGAGAAGCTGGGAGGCGAGACTGTGCTGGGAGTCCTACTGCTCCCCAGCCCTAGACCCCCCTCTTCTCCTGACAGGGCCACAGTCCCTTAGGGATGCCCCAGGCAGCTGGAGCCTCGGCAGAGTGCCCCCTGGGATGTGCCAGCAGATAGAGCGATGTCTTGCCCCTGCCTGCTGAGGCTCCTCCAGCTTCCTCTCCTGCCTGCCCACCAGCCAGTCTCCCTGGGTCTCTGGAGGGAGCAGCCCCGCCAACCTCTGCTTTCCTCCCTTCTGAGGATCCCACTTGTCTTTTCCCTGGCACAGGAGCCTGACCTCAGCAAACATCCCCACACGCTTGTCTTATGCTGGGCCTGCAGGAGGGAGACGGGAGCGGTGCTGGTCTCCTGGTCTCCCCCACCATTTAGCCCCGCTCCCCTGCCAGGAGACTGACAAAGAACAGGGTTCCCCTTCCCGCATTGGGTGTGCCTGGCATCCACACTGGCAGAGAGGCTTTGCCAACTTCTCACACTCACTCTGTGGTTTGCTCCTGGAAGGGAGCGCCTCTCGCCACCCCAGGACAGAAGAGGGGGCCCCAGGCCCAAGTCTTGGTACCTGTCTGCCCCCAGTGGCCCAGTCCTTGCTAGTTATAATAACGTCAACCATTGGGTTGGGATTCTTTGTCAGGCACTCTCCAGCACCTTATGTGTATCGTTGCATGTAGTCTTCACAACGGCTTTACAAGGAGGGCACTTGAACCCTGTTTATAGATAAGAATGGATAAAGGGAGAGGATTAGTAACACTTCCAGGTCACAGAGCTAGTGAGTGATGGAGGTGGGAGCCCCACTTGGTCTGTACTCATCCAGAGCCTGTGCTACCAGCCCAGTGTGTGCTCCCAGGGGTGCAGAGTGGGCAGCCTTGCCCCATCCCTGGCCCCTCAGGGCTGATGCACGAGTCCACGTGTAGTGAGAGTAGGGGTGTGCTGCTGTGGTCCATGCCTGTTGCTCTCATGGAAGTGAGCCCTCACCCCCTGGCAAGCCGGAAGAAGGCAGCCGTGGAGTTTTGCCCCCCTCATCAACTTTTGGTGTCCTCACAGGGCGTTTTTATCTCTTTAGCCTCCACGTGCTCAGACATGGTCCCCAGGCCTGACCATGGCTTCCAGGGTCAGGACTGAGTGAGGGAGGAGGGTCAGGGTCAGGACCGGGGGTCGAAGGTGGGTCATTGGTAGGGCAGAGGGCGCCCAGAGTCAGGGCCAGAACCCAGGCTATGATGTGGGGCTCTGCCACGTGGTGGAGCTGAAGGCTGGATACAGGCAGTGGAGGGGACACTGCACGTGCAGGAGAGGGAGTGGGGGCTGAACAGCATGGGGAGCCTTTGGGTTGAGTTGTGGCTGTTGATGCCACTGTGTGAGCCCTGGGCCCCCTACAGCCCAGCATCCGTGGAGCACTTTCTGCTGTGGCCAGTAGAGCCTCAATCCTCATTTTCCCAGGCCCTGGAGAGATAAGTGTTCATGTCTGCAGTCCAAGGCATTGCTTCTCAGACCCGGAGACTTCCTGACAGGGCAGGGTGGGCCCCACGGCAGCTCCCTGGCCCTGTGAAGGTCAGGGCTGGGCAGTGGCGCTTGGGACTCTGGTTCCTCATGTCAGGGCAGGCTTCGTGCTTAGAAGTCAGGGCAGAGATAAGTCGATCCCAGCCACCCTGGGAGTCTTAGGGTGGTCCTCGTGGGCAGGCAGTGCCAGCCCTAATGTGCACATCTGCTCTTTATCTACAGAGGAACAGCTGCCCCCCGGCTTCCCCTCCATTGACATGGGGCCTCAGCTGAAGGTGGTGGAGAAGGCCCGCACGGCCACCATGCTGTGCGCAGCAGGTGGGAATCCAGACCCTGAGATCTCTTGGTTCAAGGACTTCCTCCCTGTGGACCCCGCCACGAGCAACGGCCGCATCAAGCAGCTGCGTTCAGGTGAGCAGAGGGCGAGGGTCAAGGGGCCGTGCAGACTTCAGGAAAGGCATCAGGCCGGAACCCAGCGCAGCCTTCCCCTCATGGGCCTGGGTGCCTGGGAGCCACGGGAGGCCTCAGCCTAGGGCTGAGCAGAGGGCGCCCAGTGGATGGGCCAGATCCTGCTATAGGCCCACCTGGCCCACCCAGGAAGAAAGCTTGGCAGTGAGGGCAGGTCAACTGTGATTCTTTCACCTTCCCGGTATTGTCAGACTCCAGACTTCAGTCCGGCTCTGCTCCCTGAGGCACGAGTGTTGTTCCCAGCCTGGTGTTGGGCTCTGCGAAGGTGCTCCGTGTGCGCTCATCCTTCACCTTCCCTGGAGCCTGGCCTGAGGGGGGCCTGGGTGATGCTGCGCATTGCTGCTTCAGACGGCCGGGAAAGAGGCCAAAGGTGCCTGATTCATCAGTCTTCAAAAGGCTGGACCTCAGAGGCTTGGAGCCAGGGGGATGTGCTGCCATCCCTCGGCCACCAGGGCCACCTGCCTCCTCTGGGTGTCTCAGTCGAGCCAGCTTGGAGCCCTGCGAGCAAGGATGCTGCCTTGACCAGGCAGGAGGTGTCGCCCCGTCGATCGACCTGCCTGCGAGGCTCCCGCCAGGATAATTGATTCAGTTTTTGTGGGAACAGAGCAGGCGGGAAAGGAGCCTTGGAATCCGCTTAGCTGCAATTCTGCATCTGCTGCCAGCATGGGCTGCACTGATAGACCTTGGTCCAGGAGCCCTCCTGCTAGCTGTGCGATGGCGGGCTCAGGCAGGATGGCTCGGGCAGCACCAGCCAGAGCCCCCACTGCCCATCACCTATGGTGTCGACACCGCAAAGGAGGACATGACTGTGCCCCTTTCAGGGCCCTACAGGCTGCAGAGGTGCCCTGCCACTCCCTGGGCTGCCAGCCCCTCCTTACCAACTTCTGCCAGGTGGGCACCCCTATGGTGCCCAGGGGAGGAGTGAGGGATAAGCCACCCAGCAGGGGCAGGATTCTGGCCCCAGCCACAGCCACCTGAGATAGCCTGTGAAGTGTTAGCTCATTTACTTTAATTTTAAACTCAACAAGATGGAGGCAGCTGTAGCGCAGTTAATTAAAACAGCTATAATCAAGGCAGGAAACGGTCCACCAGCATTTGCGGTCACTGCCCAGCGCGGCACAGTGACCGCCATGGTTCAGCTCCTCTGCGTTTCCCCGCAGTCCCCAGGCAGGCTCCCCAAGCAGCCAGATGGTCCTCCCCACAGGCCTGGCCTCTGCCCGGAACGGCGCTGACTGTGGCAGCAGTTCTGGGAAGGCACGCTGTCTCGCATGTTCGTTCGTTAAGTATTTATGTAGTGCTTGCTGTGTGCCGGGCCCGGTGGCACCCATTCACGGCCCTGTGAGTCAGCTCCCGCCCAGGACTCCACTGGATGCTGCTCGCCAGCCTCCTCAGCCTCTCAGCAGCCGCCAGCACCCTCCCTCCCTCTTATCCACTCTCTCCTCTGTCTCCCAGGCTTTCCTCTTACTTCTCCGAGTGCCCCTTCTCTGTCTGCCCAGCAGCCCCTCCTGCTCTTTCCTCTAGCCGGGGAGCCTGTGAACCCTGCTCTAGTCCCATAGACACAGCTGTTCCCCCGCCAGCTCGCCCACCCTTATAGCTTCAGGTACCATTTACCTCCACTCCTGAGATTCCCAGTTCTGTCTAACCCAGACGTCTTGCTGGAGTTCTAGACTAAAACGCCCATCTGCCTTCTGGGTGTCACCCTGACTGTGAAGGGTGGTAACTTCCTTGCCGAACAGTGGTACCCTTCTCCCACTGACCCTCTCTCTGTTGAGTGGCAGCCCCTCTAACCTGAAACCTAAGACACACTGCAACTCCTACTCCATGTAAGGAACCGCCAAACCCTCTTGATTTGTCACCCACACGGTTCTCAGTTGGTCCCCTTTTCTCCTTCTGCTGCCTTGGCCGTATGCCAGGTCACCAAACACTGCTCCCTCTGCCTCCAGACTCTCCCCTTGAATCCATCCTGCAGCACTGGTGGAGTTTTCTGCCTGCACCCTCTGTGCTCTGACAAGTCCAGTGGCGTCTTATTGCCTCCATGGTCAGGTGCACTCCTGAACAAGGCACACAGAGCCCTTCTCGCCCTTCCCCAGCTCCCATCTCCGGTTCATTTCATCCCCAGCTGTCATCTTCCCCAGCTCATCTCATCAGGTCCCGGCTGCACTCACTAGCTCTTTGGCCTCGCTTAGGTTATTTAACTTTGAGCTTCAGTTTTCTCCTCTTTAAAAAGGAGTTACAGTGAGGATTAATGGAGACAAAGGCAGTGAGAGCTGTAGTCGACTGGCGTGTGATGAGGGTTCCGTGAATGGGGCTCTCTGTAGCTCCAGCCACTCCCCGACTTGCACTGAGCCCCCGACCACATCCTCGCCCTCTGCTCACATTCACTGGAACGTGAAGCTCCTCTCCTCTGCCTGAGACCTGCTCCTTCAGGACTCACCCTGCTTTGTGTTGTCACCGTCTGGCTCCAGCTCTGCTCACTTAGGCTGGGCACTCTGCAGGGAGGGCCTGGGATTGGCTCCTGTCTGTGAGGGCCCCGCAAGTAGCCAGCACAAGCCCCGCTATAGGACAGGTATCTCTGAGCCCTTAGGATGAATGATTTCCTGAACGTGACCTTTGGGTCCTGTCCTTTCAGACTAACATTCATTCCCCCTGCTTTCTTGTTTGACCTTTCCTGCCTCCTGGAAGCTGTAACCTAAGGGTAGTGGGCCCAGCATCCAACTTCTGGGATGGCACCTGAGGGGCCTCAGTCATCCCACCTCCGCAATAACTGACAGGACTCTCTCCATCACTGCCTGACCCTGGGCCCTGACCCTTGACCCAATAGCTGCTGCCCCTGTCCTGTACCATTGAGAAGTGTGCTGGGGCTGTGCCATGCACATTTGACATCCCTGTTGGAGTGGAATCAGGCCCCTGAGCGCTCGGCTTTTACAGGGGCCTCACGGTTAACGCATCACCAACAGTTTACAAAGTGCTTTCCTGCCTTTGGTTGCACTTGGTTCTCCTGCAACCCTGAGAAGTAGGACAGTTTGTGATTATCATGCCTACTTTACAGCTGAGTTAGGGAGTCACCCACCCTGGGTCACATGGAGATCCGAGTCTGGGGAGCTCCCCTGGGACAGCATCCAGGGGGCTTCTCTCACATCTGACTAGCCTGGAGCCTGGGGAGCAGCTGGACCCTGCTAGGGCCCCAGAGCGCCATAGTCTTATCCTCTCCGGACCGCAGGCCCTCCCTGACCAGTACCCAGAACTCCTCAGGCATCTGCGGGCCGAGCCCCAGCACGTGTCACCAGGGCGTGAAGAGCTGGAGAGGAGGGCAGCTGGCAGCGTGCGCGGCCCAGGCACGAATTCTGCTCGACAAGCGCCGCCTTCTCCGAAGTGATGTCACCTGCCGCCACAACCTGAGCCTCTTGGAGGATTTGAACTTGAGGCCCAGTGTGGGCCCTGGAGGAATGGGCACAAGCTCAGGGAGAGTGGAAGTCAGGAGCGGGCAGCATCACTGGAGCAGCGAGGGGGCTGACCTCCAAGTGGGGCTCCGAGCCATTGCTGTTGGCCTTGCACTCTGCCAAGCCTGGACGGGCCCCTGCGGGACACCACCTGTGCTCCGCTCCTCCCGGCACCTGTGTGTGCGTGCCACCATCCCTGTTACCCTGAAGGACCACTTGCCCACCCCGTCCACTGCTCACCCTGACACCTGAGCCGGGATGCCGGCATCGGGTGTGGGAAGAGGCCTGCTGTCCCAGCGGATGGGACTCTGCGGTGGGCCTGAGGGCTGCAGCCCCTCCTCCGTCCCACCATCAGCTGGTCTGCCAGGAGGGCCGCTCTCAGTGATGGTCCCTTTTGTCTGAACACACTGGCACCCCTCAGGGGCAATGTGAAATCCAGAGGACCCTCCAGTCTCCCACACCCATCTCGGGAAATGGAAAAGGCAGGTTTTTTCCGTTTGGTGGGGAAACGACTTTTCAGAGAGGCCCAGAGACTTGTCACACGACAGGCTAGGTTTCGGAA